GAGTTGTAAATTTTTGACCCAGTTGAACCGTTTTGACACGGGTGACCCGGTTTACTATAACCCGGTTCTAAACTCTATTCAGATGATACTTGAAAAAAAAAAAAAAAAAGAATTGTAAAATCATAATTAATTAATATAATTAACATAATTAATATTAAGAGTAAATGATTACTGATTAATCTTGGATTACAACAGTAACAACAAATGCTAATCAAAGAATACTTTAATGAAATGGTTCGATAAGATCTTGGGTCTTAAATTTCTCAAAATCTACAAAGTAATATACCCCTTTTTTTTCTAAAAAAAAATAAACAAGTCTTTTTATTGTTCTTTTCAAGATCAATAATTATGTCACAACATCTTTATGTATATTGTTTTCTAAAAATCTAGAATTATCTCATAAACACCTCCAACCTTGGTAATTTTCTATATTGGACACGTCGTTTAGCCCGTCTCCATTCTTCCTCATCATTCAACAAGGTCCACACTCCTTTATTATTATACCACATTCTTTCCCACTTCCATCCAAACCTTTGCTTCAGGTAAAACTGAAAGTGGCATAATAATCCATCACTGGGATAAATAACCGCGCGTTTCTGGGTTGGGACGATACATGTAATGTATATCTAAATAATAACCGTTAGACATTTGAATGTTATGTAGTATCTTTGAAAAAAGCCACAAAGATTCCTTACTTCTTTTTGTTGAACTGTCGCGACTTCTGAAGATTTCAAAGTCGAATTTGGTTGAAGTGTCCCTTTTGAATGGTCTTCCTTTGAATCATCATTTTTAATATTTCTAGGATTATAAGTCGTCCAGTTATTAAACGTAGCCTATTAATATTTAAAAATTTATAAATTATCAAATAAAGATATAAACAATTTGAATGAATATCTTATAAACTCGGTTAACCTTATTTAATTGACCCGTCTCATTCATTAATTTTTTTATAAACTTTTCTACTTCATATATTTCTCCATGTTTTGTGAAAGCTTCAGGTTTAAGACATAAACAATTCAAATCAGAAAAATGATCGTTTGTAGGATCCTTATATAATCTCACTGCATTGTCCTTGTACGGATATCCTCTAGAGTGATATAGGTACTAATATGTAATATAAAAACGTCGTAAATCTGATCGTTATCAATTAATTCATTAACTGTAATATTATGTCATTACCGTTCGATCAAAATTTGGATTCAATTTTAAAATAATGGATCGGTCTTTTGCGATTCGAAATTCTTCAATTTCTTTAACATTTATAACAATTTCATCTTTCATATTATGTAAACAAATCGAAATTTCTCGTGTTTTTCCACGTACTAAAAACGCCATATCTCCAGCTCCAGAAGAAAACATACGAATACATGTTCTTTTGTTAAAAGTAATTACTTTCAACTGTATCTTGTATTCTTGGTTATAATTATGGTTTTTAACATTAACGTTATTTGAACGAGGCGTAGTAGGTATCAGCGTACTACTACCTTGAGGGGGAGAAGTGTGAGAAATAATTAATAATAAATTTCTTACTTAATGTTAAGTCTTAAAAAAATACATTTACTTGCCAGACACCCATTCTATATTATCCTGATCACTTAAACTTTCTTGTGAACTAACTTCCATTTTAATGAAAAAATCAAGTGTTTTCCAAAATATCAAATATATATGTAGCAATATATAAACAAATACACAAATACTGTCAACTAGTTCTCCGACTGTGAGTGTAACGTGGTACTAGATCAAATAATCATATGTAAATTAATCTTTTAAAGAAAAAATCAAATTTAGGTTCATTTTAATCATTATCGTTATTCTTTCTGGAGTTCAAATATGATAGATCACCTCCTAGGAAGACCTTCTCCTTCATGGAAAAGAATTCAAGTGTTTCTTGTTTCACTCACCTGGTAAGGGTACTTTTTAAAGTTTGTTGTAGTTTAAAATTTCTGTTAAAATTCATAAAGGTTTATATGATCTTGTCTTTAGGTTTTTTTTCTTATTTAAAATTGACCGTCGAGGTCCAAAATTTCTTCATATATGGAATGAAAAATTATGTGAGTTTTTTCTTTTTTTTTGACATGTTTATTTATTTTACTTTTTGTTTTGGTTTAGTATTTATTCACTATTTATCATTGAAACAGCAAGGTTCTCTCCATTTCAACTTGTGGCCGGAACTTTGGCTGTATTATACATTTTGAAAAATGCTGATCGTATGATAGGACTTGGAGGTATTTTTATACTCAGATTACTCCATGTTATAATTTTTTTAAATTTTTTTTATTCACTTATGAATACATTTCGTTCTAAATAAATAGCACCCGAGCCACTTGCACGACTGGTATGTAATAGATGACATAATCTTTTTAATATAATTACCTTTGTCTTACTATCAAATATACATTGTTGTGCTATTTGACATATATAGTATAGTCGAAGTTATTATCGAGCCACGTGGGTTCTTACTGCGTTAGACGCCGGTTTTTGGACTGCGATGCCAATTCGTCCAAAACCAATTCGAGACATCATGTGCATTCTGTTTTCAATTTATTACCTAATATTTGCTGATCAAGCGGACGAAAAGGTATTAATTAAATTATAATTTAATTATTTTATTTTTCTAAATCAGTTAAATATTTTATATTTTATTAATTCAGACTAGACGAATACGTGCTACAATTACTGTCGAACATCTTCGTACATCATGGGAAAAAGCTCTAAACCCTTATTTACGCGCGTTAATAAGGCTTACACATCCACATGTGACTATTCATCAAAAAAAAATTATGATTCCTCGACCTGAAAATAGTCAATATTGTTCAAGAATGGTTACTGGTTATATATATTACGATGGTCCTTTAGAATCATTCAAATATTCTGACACTTTAATACTCAATTTCCCTGGTGGTGGTTTCATTGCCATGCCTCCTCCATGTCATGAAGACTATTTAGCTCAGTGGGCTAAAACGACTCAAGTACCTATTTTAAGTATTGACTATGGGAAAGCTCCTGAATATCCTTATCCTTATGCCCTAGAAGAATGTTTTGATGTTTACCGAAGCGTAATTGAAAGTAATGGTGAAGTAATTGGAATGGCTGGTTGGAAAGATAAGGATGGTAACCAGAGGAAACAAATAAAAATAGTTTTGATTGGTGACTCCGCGTAAGTTAAATGTATTTTTATTTTCTATTTTATTGATATTTATTTTGATACAATGATAATTAATGTTTAATATTATTAAGTGGTGGGAATCTTGTTGTGTCAGTTATGTTTAAAATTCTTGAATCCCAAATGCCTATTCCCCACCCTAATGGTTTGATTCTCATTTATCCGTGCCTTAATTTTGATATTACTTGTTGGATGCCACCAACTCAGCTTTCGGTTATTAGAGCTGAATCTTCGACTTCGATTCCAGGAGTACTTGAATCTAAAGACCATCTGAGTCATAAGAGCCCTCTATCTGTTGTTCCAGATGTTAAGAGAAAAAGATGGAGAAAGAGTTTTTCAAGGTCGACAGACGATGAAAGAACAATAGAAGAACGTGTCCAGGTGATTGAAGGTCATAATGTCACTGGATCTAATGAAAAACGTTTACGTCCGGTTATTGGAACTCGCTTAACAATGACCAGTCGTATGAGTTTCTTTAATGACAGAATCATTAACGCTGATTTGGTAAATTATGATTACGATTGTATT